TTCATACAAGCCTACAAGTATGTTTCTTTGACTTGACAGAATATGATTTTTAATTAACTGTCATTGTTGACTCAGGTTCAACAAAAATGCTCTCATCCCCTCCCATCCAGGTAGGGAAGGAGAGAGAGAAAAAGAGAGACTTGGCTGGTTGGAAAACTAAACTACACAGCTTTAATTAAACACTAATGATAAAAGGAAGTATATACAGTTATATACAAATACGTTCAGATACGTGCAGAAGCCTCTCGCCTCCCCCCATCCCCAGCAACTCCCACAGCATCTCCTGAGCTGGGAACAGTCCCGAAAAATCCCAGAGCTGCTGGAGAAAGCAGAGAGTGATGAGGGTCAGGAGAGCTCGAGCCTGGGGGTCGATGGTGACGGATGGACGGAGTCCTCCCTGGACACCGGCCATGGACAGAAGAGAAGGGAAGAAGAAGCAGGAAGGAAGTTGTCTTCTGTGATCTCAGACCTTCCTCTGAGCTTACGTAGATATGTGGAATGGGATATCTCTGACCAATTTTGCTGTCTGTCTAACTCAGCCTCCTACAGAGGGGTCATAGGTCTCCCTGTAGTGTCTGAGCTGGCAGATCAACAATGCGACCTTGAAGACCCAGCAGTTAGAAAAACATTTCACCGTTATCAGTCTTAGTTGGAACACTTTGCTACTAGTTAAAAGAAAGCTTACTGAAGGGAAAAACAAAAACAAAAAAAACAACAATAAAAGGAAAATTGGCTTTATCCTTGCTCAAACCAGGACATTAACAAATACCAGTTTTGTGCTGTCTCAGTCTTCTGGGTCCCACAGTGGTTTCTCTCTCAAGTAACTGGTTATAATTTTTTGAAAATAAATTTCAGTCTCTTCTTTAGTACAAGTCTGGGTTTGCAGCACACCTCCTCTCACCCAGAAGTATTAGTTATAATCTTGGACCAGTGTCAGCTTGCAAGAGAGGTCAGAGGCCTAATATTGATACCAGCTGAAGTTGTGCAGGCTAGGGGTGCAGGTGAGAAGTTGGAATTGAACAGAAATGATAACTGGTGATAAATACTAATGATCAGAAATACGTATTGATTTCTCCCTGTTTCAGTTTTCAACAAAATGAATATTGAATCATACAAGGCCTACATTTTAATGTCAAAACTCTCAGTTGACTGTATAGATAGGTTTGTGTCATGGATGCAGTTTTCCACTGGTAGTTCATTAGTGTGGAGGGACAGATTGGGTATGGCTTGTGATATGTTCATAATAGCACCACAGTCAACATGAGCTGTTCTCCTTAGTTTACTATTAACATTTTCCATGCTATGTTCTGTGGCACCACAGCTACCACAGCAGCACCCAGACCTACCTACAGTAAAGCTAATCTGAGTGTCATGTGTTGAAACCAGAGCAGTGAATAGTGTGTGGCTTACAGGTTTACAAAGAGTATCTTGTTAGTAAAGCCCCCACATAAGCCGTAGCGCTGGTAAAGATCTTGACTACTTTTAGGTGCACCTGCAGTCATCTGCTTGGTTAGCATGCATTTCTGTATTTCAACTTAAAAGAAGTTTAACTTCTAGTGTAGGGGGCCAGACTGATTGCCTTTTAAAGCATTTCTGATCTTTTATTTAAACAGTGTCTTCAACTTTAAATCATAGAATATGCTGAGTTGGAAAGAACCCATTAGGATCTTTGAGTCTAACGCCTGTCCCTGTGAAACTGTGTTTATATACAGATGAGTTTTGCTCAAAAGTGTTACTCTCCTGGTGAGGTAGTACAGGCACCTTGTGAGGTGAGTTTCATATAATCCCTTTCAATTAATTAATTACAATGATGGAAATTGAACATGGCAGAAACTTTAATCAACTATTTAATGCCTGTAGAAGTCATCAGGATTTTCTTTTGATGTTGTTTCTAAAATGTTTAATCTGTTTATTCTGTGTGCTAGCAAGAGATATATGTTAGCTTTTTTTTTGTCCAGCTGGCAAAGGTTGAATTTGCAAGTTTGAGCTTGAGAAACTATAGTAGGACTTCAGGAGATGATGGCTTACTTTTGGCTAAAATAAATACTGCATTGTACTAATTTGTTCAGCTTCTTGCAACTCAGTGATTCCTACTGCAGTTTGGCCAAAACAACCCCCAGAAGCACTACAGGCTTGTGGAGGAGTGGCTGGAGAGAGCCCAACAGAGAGTGACCTGGGGTGCTGATTGACAGCTGGCTGAACATCAGCCAGCAGTGAGCCCAGGAGGCCAATAAGGCCGACAGCATCCTGGCCTGAATCAGAAATAGTGTGACCAGCAGGACCAAGGAGGTGATCCTCTCTGCCTTGGTGAGGCTGCACTTCAAGCACTGTGTGCAGTTTTGGGCACTGCAGTATAGGAAGGACATTGAGGTGCTGGAGAGAGTGCAGAGAAGGGATAATTAGTGGTCTGGAGAGCAGGTCTTATGAGGAGAGGCTCGGTGAGCTGAGGCAGCCTGGAGAAGAGGAGGCTGAGAGGAGACCTCATTGCTCTCTACAACTACCTGAAAGAAGATTGTAGTGAGGTGAGTGTTGGCCTCTTATCCCTGGTGACCAGTGATAGGACAAGAGGAAATGGGGTCAAGTTGTGCCAGGGAAGGTTCAGATTGGATATTGGGAACAAATTCTTCACAGGAAGAGTGGTGAGGCATTGGGACAGGCTGCCCGGGGTGGTGGTGGAGGCACTGTCTCTGGAGGCATTAAAAAAACAGGTGCACATGGTGTTAAAGTCAATAGTTTTTTCATAATAGCTCAGTAATTTTAATAAACTATATATGCAAATCCAAAAATGTCTGTGGCAAATCTGAAATTTCCCATGATACTCAAAACCAAGTAGAGTAGATTGTAAAAACTTTACAGTACTAAGATGTAAATTATAATCTCTAAATCAATTTGTTAAACTATACTTTTTTATAAATCTCAAGATCATGCTGTTTAAATGCAATACTATTTTCTCTGAGATATATGCTTATTGAAAGTCAGTTTTCATTATTTTTTTTTACTAAAAGTCATTATGTAACTATGGAGGTTGTAGGGGGAGAGAGTTTTAAAGTGCAATCTGTAACTGCTCAGAAGCCAGAAGGCATAGAAAAAGAACTTTTCTTTATTCCCTTCCCCCCACCCTAATGTCTTAATTTTAAATCAGTTCCCTTGTTTTGGGAGCCATTGCTTATGGTTTTTGAGCAGCTGGCAATAATGCAAATTGTCCACCAAAAATCCCCATTTGAATTCTGAACAATTTAAAGAGATCACGTTAATTGGGAAG